CCCAGGCAGAAAAGTGTGCCAAATGATAATTTCAGGTCTGATAGTTTATATGATCTTTTAGTGTAGTGTAGCCTTGATGTGATGTTCGGTTTCTGTTTTTGTGTTCCATGCGATATCATCCTCTACCATCACGCCATCAACAAAATTCAGATGTTATTTTCCATTCTTCTAGAAATATACTCATCCCCCTAAACTAGTAAGCTCTGGGAAGCTGAATGGAGTGGCAAAATTGTTGAAAGTCATGGCTCTAATCACAGCCATGGTGTAACGATCCTTTTTAAGCTGATGATCAATGTGTCCATTGAAAAAATTATCCGTGTTAAGAACGGTATGTTTCAAGCAAAGTACTTCTACACAACATAAAGTTTGTTTTTGTGAATATTTATGCACCAAATGATCAGATGCAACAAATTCATTTCCTCAGAGACTTTTCCAACTCCGTGCTCAAAAGTTATGCAAACGTGATATTAGTACTAGGCGGTGACTTCGATTGTGCCTTAACTGAGCTTGATAAGCAAGAGACTGATCAGTCAAACTAAAAAAAAATTGGTTACTGACAGAAGAAATCAGTAATCTGATAATTGCCCATGATCTTATTGATACCTGGAGAGCAAAAAATCAAGGTTTCACTTGGAGCAATCTGTCGATGAAGATTCAGTGCAAATTGGATTATATTATTTGATCTCAAAGGATAAGCGATCTTCGCTAAAAAATGTTAAAATAATATCCAATATATTTTTTCTAATCATTCTGCATTGGGTTTGTCTTTATCCTCTGAAGAAAAACAAGATCAGCAGGGTCCTGGGTTTTGGAAAGTTCAATAATTCACTGTTAACTGACAAAGATTATACGGAACTGATTTCGAAAAAAAATACCTGAGTTTGCATCAGAATATCATGAGGCAACAGATAAGGGGCTCCTCTGGGAAATGATCAAAATGGAAATAAGAGTGGCCACGATTCTTTTCTCTAAAAGAAAAGCTACAGAAAATTGCGACAAAGAGAGAAAGTTATTAGAAAAATTCAATTGCCTGCAAGAGCAAATTCGTTCAACATTATTTTAACAAAGAGACAAAAGCTGAAATAGACCCTGTGAAAAGCAAACTTGCAAAAATAGTTGCAAAAAAACCCAAGAAACAATAGTCTGAAGTGATGGTATGAATTTGGTGAAAAGAATAGTAAGACTTTCTCAATTTGGAGAAAAGAAACCACAGGAAGAAACATAATTATAACCTCATTAAACATTAAAAAACGAAGACGGCTCTGTTCTGCGTAACGCTAAACAAATACTGGAGGAGGAGGAGAGCTTTTTGTAAGAATATATATAAATTGAAAAATATCTCACTTGAAACAGAGAAGTAACTCCAAACACTTCTTCGACTCACCGGACCTTAAAGAAGCTCAGTCACGGTGTTTTGTGTTTTTTTTGGCCACATACAAAATCTCCTTTAAATGGAAGGAAACTTGAAAATAATAGTTTACTAAGATAGACAAACATCAAAGAGATAATAATAAACCATAAAGGAACAAGGATGGTCAAGGATGGCAAAGATTGACACGGATTGTAAACAACAAATTTGAAAAATTTAGGCTAAACTTTTCAAAATATGCAAACCGTGACTGAGCTCCTTTAAAAGCATGATCAATGAAGAAGCAAAGCACTGCGAAGGCTTGTTAACAATAAAGGAATGTGCATTTGTGCTTAACAAGTTCCAATACAACACTAGCACCTGGTTCTGACGGGTTCACAATCAAATTTTGTTGATTCTTCTGGGAGGTAGTGGGACATTTTATGGTAGATAGCTTTAATCATGTATATGAGCCCGGTGATTTATCTATCTCCCAACAGCTTGGAATTATTTCCTTGATACCAAAAACGAATAAAGATTTAGAATATTTAAAAAACTGGAGGCTGATTTCCCTTTTAAATAAAGCCATTGCAGTCAGAATGGAAAGAGACTGAACGGTACCTAAAATTATTCATTCAAGCCAAACAGGCTACGTCAAAGGAAGATATATCGGCGAAAGTATCAGAACTATTACTGATATCATGTCTTTCACCAAGACGCAAAACATCCCGGGATTAGCTGTTTTTCCTGACTTTGAAAAAGCATTTGATTCCTTGAATAGAATTACCTTCAGAAATGCCTGGAAACTTTCAACTTTGGTCCTCAACTGCAGAAGTGGATTAACGTAAAATATAGCGACATTTCAAGTTACATTCCAAACAACGCCTTTGCCACTAAGCAATTTAATTTGGGAAGGGGAGTCAGGCAAAGCTGTCCTCTGTCTGGTATCCTGTTTACTATTGGGATAGAAATCCTGGGTAATGCCATTAGGAGCAGAGATGAAATAAAAGGCTTCAGAATAGATGACAGAACCACAATAAAACTTATGCAGTATGCTGATGATACCACTGTTTTTAGAGACATTCAGTCACTAAATAACCTTAATTTACTTGCTTAGTTTGAAAATTGTTCTGAATAAATCAATCTAAATGAGAGTTGCTGTGGTTAGGATCATTACGATATCGAAAAGATACATTCTTAAATATAAGATTAAGTGAAGACCCAATCTATGCCCTGGAAATTAGTTTTTCGTATGACAAACGACTCGCAGCCAATAAGAACTTTCTTGATCGACTAGACCCCTCTAAGAAGAATACCTTTGGTCATCAAGAGATATATCCATATACAGCAGAATCAATGTAGCCAAGACAACAGCAATTTCAAAACTAACTTTCATTTGTAGTGTGCTGAACACACCAGACACGTTCACTACTGAAGTTAAAAAGCTGATCTCTGATTATGTATGGAAGCACAAAAACCCAAAGGTCAAAAAATCTACTCTGATTAAAAGTAAAAAAAAGGAGGGCTAAACAGGATTGATTTCACATTATTTGACAAAGTACTGAAAATATGTTGGGTGAAGCATCTTGCTCTGAAGGCGATCAACCATGGAAATTAATCCCACTGGGCTTTCTATCTGGTGTCAGCAAAACACTTCTTTTTCAATGTAATTATGACATAAAATACTTGAACTTAAGTGCAAAGCTATCCTTGTTCTACAAGAACATGATTTCGCACTGACAAGAATTCAATAATGTTGTCCTTACAACAAAGAAAGACGTACTCAACCAAATTGCTTGGGATAATCGATTCACAAAAATTAACAAAGCCTCCGCATGTTTTCGGAGCTGGCATCAAGCCGGTATCTATAAACTATCCAGTCTTCTCGACGAAAGAAACACTTGTTCTCTGCCATTCAACGAGTTCTTACGAAAATTCAATGTAAAATAAAATTTTTACAATATCACGGCCTTCCTTTGGCAATATCGAGTGTCTGGAAAAAATACCTAAAACAGGAAGAACAAGCTGCCACAGTTAATTTACTTGCTGTTGATAAACTTACATGCAAATAATTTATAGATCTTTAATTGATCATCAGAATTTTTCTCCTCCAACAGCTAAGAAAAGACCGTCAATTAAGAATGTCAGAAAATATATTCTCTATCCTTTCTCATGACTATAGAAATCAAACTTTCAATCTTCCAATGCAAGATTATTCACAATTTTCTTTACACCAATTGCATTTTGTATTAAATGAAAAAGGTTGAGGACCCGCATTGTCCCTTGTGCACAAAAGTCAACCAAACAGTTGTATTGTGTCCCTATGCTAGTTCTTTCTGGTCCAATTTTATTGAATAGTGTCAGTCTTTTTCAAAAAAGACCTTAAGCCTTTCCAAGAATGAAATCATTTACAGCGTACTTAATAATTGGTCTTCTTGTTCAACCCTAAACCACCTTATTCTCATCGGTAAGTACTTTCTTTATTGCAAAGCATTAAATAGCGTTAAATTTAAGTTCGCAGATTATATAAATCTGGTAAATGACAAAATAGAAAATTGAATGTTCTACAGCCCTTATGTCAGACAAACATAATACCTTTTTAAAGAAGTGATCTGGTTTCATAAATTAATACATGTAGTACATAGTCACACATTTCATTTGCAAGGTTTAAATAACTCGTTCTGTAACCCAATGCAAGTAAATCACGTACATTTGTAAGTAAGCAATATAGCGTATTGTAAGTGAGTAATGTAACGTAATGTATGGTAAGTGAAGTAACATAAGGTATTTTAAGTGATGTACATATGTAATATAGCATATTGTAAGTAACTCAGTAATGTTATGCAATGTTTTGTAAGTTGGTAATGTCATATGTAGTAAATTATCTTTGTAAGTAAGTAATGAGGCACATTGTAGGTAGATAGTGTAAAATAACATTTTGTAAGTCATAAGCTAGTAATGTAGCCAATTATAAGTCAATTTTAGTACCGTATTGTAAATTGTAAGCTTTTTAAAGTAAGTATTCTGTAAGTGTAATGTAATATATGCAGGTTAATAAAAAAAATTACAGCTGGGTCTAGTTTTTTTCTTCTGTCTAAAAATGCGATGTGAATACTACCTTGACTAATCAAACTCCAAAATATCACCTGTCGCAGTTTTACATTCATTAAAACTGAGCTTTGCAAAGTATTTTTTGGTGACTAAGTGCAGCAGACAATAATTATTTTTCTGTTCACAGGTACCTCCATGCCTGTGTTACCTCAAACCGTTCCGGGTGGGGAGGCGGGGGGGGTCCATTTACCAATGCCTACTATCACATCACTTCAATTATACTGAAAAGTCTCGCAATTGCCTGGTTCTTATATTTCGTATATTTCACATTAAGTTATTCACCTTTACGTTAAGCTTAACTGTAAGCTTTAATAAGCTTCAACTTACCCTGCAGCGAACTCACACAGAAATACGGATCAAATCTACTGTGATTAAATATGCAACTTAGCTTAGCTTTGGTAAGCTCGAATATTATCGTTCAAGGTTTGTAGAACGAGGCACAAAGCAATATACACTAAGATAACAGTGTTTCCTTGTCAAATTTACATTCTAAAACTCGTTATATAGCGAAGGCAGCTTTAAGCTTAAATAGCACGTTTACCTCAAAACATAAGAAGACGAAAATCCGTCGACTGGTCAGCTTGCCACATTCAGCCGCCAATTTACACCATTCATCTGAAGAACACAACAACTGACATTGCTTGTCACATTTCAAACGATTCCAAAAGTCAAAATGGCCAAAACAGGATGAATTTTATACCTTCTTGTCATCTCTCAAAACTTAGTTGTGACACACCGTGCCTTACTGGGAAGCTAATTGGCAACCGCGCCGGGGGTGAAAAGCGCGGGAAAAGCGCGGGAAGTAGTTGTGCCCAGGCCCCGCATAGGCTTCGACGGTCAATTCTCTGGTAGTGGAGGTGGGCGTTACAGGGATCTAGGGAGCGAGTGATGGTGAGCCGTGAAAAGTGACTCAAAAGTGGCGGCAGGCCCCGGGTGATACTCCCTTATACGGGCTATACAGATATGTGCGGCCCCAAGGTATGATGTTTCAGCCGTTTTGGTCATAAACAGGGTATCAATTATGGCCATTTGGGTCTTAAACAGGGGTATGGTTTTTGCTCTCTAGTCGTGATATGGGTATGTTTGTAAGACCATCAACAAAAGTTGAAATAGGGAACTACCAGTAATTATAAGGCAGGTCTGAAACAGGGTATTGATTTAAGGGTCAGGTCATAAATAGGGTATCAACAGTTTTTGGTCAGGTCATTAATAAGGTAGAGATTTTGGTCATAAATAGGGCAAGGGTTTTGGGGAGTGGGCTGCACACATCCGTCCAATTTTTCTGGGAGTAAAAACAATGGCTGTGAGAGAGGCTACATAGAAAGCAGAGGTATAAGTTTCTAAAGAAAATGTTAGGCTGTATAGACACCTCACATAAATAGCGCCAGTGTTTGAATAACAAAACTTTTTATTATACATTGAACTCACTATCTCTTTTTTGATTGGCTGAAAGCGCACAGTGAATTTTTGAAATCAGCACCTGTGATGTCATCTAGCTGCAGATTATACAATAATCAAGTCAAGGACACTCAAAGTCACAGGTAATCATGTCATGTATGACTGCAGTGCCAAATTTCTAAGGGTAATCATGTCAAGTTGTGTTGCTTGCCATCAGTGAAGAGGCAAAAACTTCCATTTCTTTTTCAAGGTATAATAAAACAATTATTAGATTTGGTTTTTGTGATATCCAGAATAATCAAGGTCAAGAATTATTCTGGATATCACAAAAATCTCATCACATTCATGTGAAAAATCCTTTGTCTGGAAACATGAACACAAGGCTTAGGATGTATAAAGTATTGTTATTCAAATTTAGAAGCCATTTATGCAAAGTGTCTATTAGTAGGCAAGCAAAACACTTGGCTATTTATCAATATATGTAATTGATAAATTAGGTAAAATACCACCAAAGCAAATTAGTGAAGCTGAAGTTTCAAGCATGAACCCTTCCTTAGACTTGACTTTGACTAACTCTGACAAAGGGCTACCGCTTGAAATGCCAGTTTCATTTACACACTAAAGCAGTGTTCATTTGCTTTTATCAGCTTCGAGTTGATAAATAGCTAAGAATACAAAGAAAGCAGATTGCAGCTAATTAGCTTTCCCATTATCCCAGCTGCAATCTCATTATCTTTTATTAGTTCATTGTTGCTGTTGTTGCTTTTGTCCGATAAATGGCAAAAAAGAAACCTCAACAAAGTGTGTTGAAAGTAACAGCATTATTTATTTTTCTTTCCTAACACCTAACAAGACAGCAGAATGATAGATCTTCATTACATCTTTTGTCGTCCCACTTCTTTGTAAATTTACTTGAACTTTGCCATTTTGTTATTAATGGGATGGGCCTTAAACTTGTCTGACTTCATATATGCAGCAATGGTAGGTAACTCCTGAAGAAGGAAAACAGAACAAAATAGTTTAAACTTTTTAATTTCAGTACATTCAAATCACAAAATTAAAAAAGTTCATTTCTAACTTTTTTTTCATATGAAGTGAAAATTAACACAAGTTATTTTGTATTGTTTATTTTGAAAGCCTCTTGTAATAGTGGCACACTGTCAAATTAATGGCATTAGTTTACTAATTTTAAACTAATCTCAAACATAGATTCTTTGAGTGGAAACAGCTGATGAAAATAATGATCAAGTAGACACTACCATTTTGATTTATGTATTGAATACTTGAAGCCAACACGTTTGCAACAAACATATAACAAAAAAACAAAAACAAAATTACAGGAAAATAATCTTCAACATCACTAATTCTAATCCTAAACAGTTACCTCAATCCGAGTTAAGAATTCCTGAAAAAGAGTGAAAATTTGTTACAATTATTATAATGACTAAATAATTAGGGATGACTCCTGAGGTGGGTTCCTAGGTGTATCCTTTTCAGGTCCTTAGGAAGATCTGAGGTGTGGAGACCTTAAAGTGGGTCCCATGTAGGGTAGGTGCTTATTAATACGTGCATCTTCAAATTATAGGACTCTTTGAAAGCATGTTCAACATTTAGAAAGACAGCATGATTTATCGCATGCATTGAAGAAAAACATTGCTGCATATATACATGTATTCTGTGATATCCCAGGGTGCAATATCCCATGGGAAAGCCCTGAAAAGCCCCATTGGGGAGGTTCAGTAAAGTATTTATTCATTCATTCATCATATTCATGAAAGTTTCTTGCTGTTATTCGCTAGCTGCCTCCACGTTTTCCCACCAGAAGCCTACCCAACAGCACATGCAAGCTATTTTCCATTCAGCTCAAGTCAGATTTTGTGAGAAGTGTTCCATCTGGAATAAGAGTCAAATTACTCTCCCTCTCTATCAATCTTCTATAAATCAACCTGAGGTTTGGGAAAGCTGAATCTAGTAAGGAAAGACTGTGCAGATGCTGTCAGGAACTTGAACTGAGGAATTTGCCAAACCCAAGAATGGTGAATAAAACAAGACCTTTGTCATGGACCTGCTTAAAATCATTTGGAAATGAGATTGTGGAAGATTTTTATCTTACATCAAAGAGAGAGGCAGAAAAATTAACATGTGATTGGCTGAACACAAACAAGAAATGAGAAATGGCGAGGTCAAAAATCACACTGCTGGCCATCATCAACTTACAAACCACAGAACTGACTGGGACTCTACTCGGTGCTTAACTTAAAGACAGTACAAAATGGTACACAAACTTGGAATGAAAGCTTCTCAACAGATACCAGCAGTTACCAGCAACTCACAAATGACTTGTTCACAACAACAAAAAACCCTCAGTCTTCAATCCAACCTTTGCAAACAGAATGACTTCAATTGACCAATAATAGATGGATAAAGCTCACTTAAACTGTGACCAATCACTGCTGACAAGTTTTAAACATCTTACAGTCAGTAACATTATGGCTAAATTAGTACTGACCAGTCAGTTTCAAGCAACCACACTAAAAACACCATTGACCTCTTGACAAACACTTTTCATTTGACACTAACATGGCTTTTACTTTGAAAGGTCCTTCAAACATCAGTCAACAACTGCAACTCTTTTCAGAATAACACTCATCTAGCCTATCACAGTTACTCTATCTATTCATTTTCTACTTAGCGCATTTGAAATAACACAAGATGTTATTTTGTACCTTGAGGTTATTATGAGGTTCCAGTAAAGAGGGCTCAAAAATTCTGTGTTGATCCATCATTTCGTACAAGATAAAGTCAACAAAGGTAATCTATGATGTACAAATGAAAAAGCAAAATTAAATCCAAAAAGTCATACGAATACTTCTGGGTGGCCTGTAAAGTTCATTAAATAAGGTGGCTAGCAACAGTTTCCAGCCCCTTTACAACAGCTTTACTTTGTTGTAATAATAGTCCACCACTGTTTAACAAATAATCATAATTATAATGATAATGACCAGCCATTAGTGAACCAATAGTGGTGATCTTCATACCATAATAAGTTACCATTATAGCATTACCACCTGTTAAAAACATTACTTGATTTTAGCGTTGACTGCTTATAACTCAAAAAACAAACTCAGTGACCCCCATTTTTTATTATTAAGTTGTGATATGCATGATAAGATGCAACGTTTTGCAAAGTTTAAAAATATTCTACTGAGGGAGCTCCAAGCCACCTTAAATTTTCCAAATTTAGGGTGGCTATGAACTCCCTCCATAGGATTTTTCTTTATTCATTAAGTCTTATTCAAAACTACAAAGTAACAACAATTTCCACAAGAATTCAACACTATAATACTGGAGGAGTGTACTTTGAAAATTTGACTCTCTTCTGTTGCTGTTGCTTTACTATTTTGCACTTGTAAAATAGGTACCGGGATTCCGGTGGGATCCCGCCAAGATTCCTGGCACTTGCTAAGATCCCGCCGAGGTGGTCAGTTTCCCCACCAGGATCCTTCCCAGGAAAAATTCTCGCAGTGCATCTTAGCAAGAATCCGGCTGACAAATCTGTCCTTGCCGGGATCCCACCAAGAAAAAAATCTGCTCCAGGAATCTAGGAGGATCTTGCCAGGAAGCAAAATCTTGGTAGTATTCCCAGCAAGAACTTAATTCTTGCCAAGAAAAAATTATTGCATAGAATTCCCACCAAGAACTTGTACATTCTCATGGCCGAAACACAAATCCTGGCGAGGGTGCGTTAAACCTGGTGTGGAGATAAACTGCTTCATGGTTGACCCTGGGAGCAACTGTCACTCTAAAACTATCTTGAACCATATCTAGTTAAAGTTTTAATAAGCTTATTTATTAAGACTCAGTCTTAAAAGTTTGGCATGTCAAAAACAAACCGTGAAGACAAAATCCCACGCATATTTATCTGCAAACATGCCGATCGCGTCTAGACAAACTGGAGCTTTTCATGGCGACGACTAGCTGAGTGCTCTAATGTGTTTCATAGGAGAAAAATAAGATCTTTGTCGATTTCCATATGTGTGGCCTCTTTGTTTTGAAATTTATGCAAGATTTTAATTAGATGTCCATAGATAGGATTACTTCTCAGGATTCTAGTGACCATCACTCAGCGATGATCTTCCGATGGCAAACTCCGAAAATTGGCTGCAATATAAATGCTCACTTTGCCTTGAAAATTTTCTTTGTGACAGCATCTGGCAAATCTCTTTTGTGAAGATCTTCCTGCATGCCACACAAATAGCAAACTTGTCGTGGGAATCTTCCTGCCAAGGTCATTAACCCAGTAATACGATTGGCTGACTAAAATCACGTGGGATATAGCACACGCCATCCTGCAAGTAGGAGAGAAAGTTTGAGTGCTCTGAGTGCTGCTAAAAATCCACATCAGAAAAATCTGGAAAATTGTCTGTTTGCCTGGTTTGATTACTTCGAAGCTTCAGTAAGGACCTTTCTGTAGGGAAAAGCTGCTTTGTTGAAGTTGCTGTAACATGGTTCATACAGACCTGAGACCTTTCTTTTCAAGTACTTTTCAAGGACTTTTCAAGGACAAATCACATTTTTTCAAGGAGTTATTTCCACTCAATTTGACATACATGTAATCAACCCCTCAATTCAAATGACTTTTTATATGGGATGTTCTGCAAAGAAACGTGCAATACAAACAGGAAACTACCATTAATGTGGTACAGGAAATCACATCACAAACCTCAGAAAATTTTTGGATTGTGTCTATTCTTTTAGCTTTTCCAGTTTGGAATTTAAGCTTATTTCTACTAGGACATGTCGAAGTACCAGCACTTGAACCAAACCCAAAAGATGATAGTGTCACTCGCTGTTCACATCAACTGTTTTGCTTGTGCTTCTCGCTTTTTGAGTGCGATTTCAGTGCGCTCTTGCCCATACTTGAGACGTCAATTGTCCGGTCACACCA